CTACTAGGTTGAAGGCCATCGCTACTAGGTTGGAGGCCATCGCTACTGGTAGTAGGTTGGAGGCCATCGCGACTAAATGGGAGGCCATCGCTGTTAGAGAGTTTAGAGTTTCCGCAAGTGAGTGATGGGCAGCAAAAGCACAACAAAACCTGCAAGTTGCGCTAGGCCGCCCGCCTCACTGAGAAGCGACATCAGCTCTTTTGATGCTTCCGGGTGCTCTTTCAGCCAGCGTTCCCCAGCATCTGTCCTTCCAGTAAAGGGCATGTGACATCTTCTGTCTTTTCTTCGCACGGCTCACGAATCCATTGAAATCCCCTGCTCGTCGCACCAATCCGCCACTTTGTCTTGGTGTTTCCATATCAGGCGCAAACAGAGCAGCTGTTCTGCTCACATGGCCAGACTTTTTCCGGTCGAGGCTGTCTCAGGCTCTTGAGGCTCCTGTAATTAGGATCGAGTTCGGGCGCTACAAAACGGCTCGTCGGGGGAAGCGCTCTTCCTATATTCATTGAGATGTTCTCATCGAAATGGCTCCAGAAGCGCAGGTCTTCGTTCATTACACTAATCAAAATATACATTTTGAAACTGTGTCACTACTGATCTGTGTGCTCTCGTGGTTTTGAAGAAACAACATGAAACACACTCTTATTCTAATTAATAGCTTCTTGTTACTACTAGTAAGGCACTTGTTACTACTAGCGAGGCACTTGTAATTACTAGCAAAGGAATCTTTTCGGTTTTAGGTCCTCCTCCAAGATGTCAATCGGCCTGGACTGGCGGGTTGAAGCCGTCGGCAAGCGGCCCAGCTGGGATCCAGGACGTGGCGGAAACTCTCTGGAGACGACGTAGGAGCTCCCTGGTCGGGAGTATTCCTGTGGGAGGCACAAACGGATTCAGCGTCCCACATGAGTGGACTTGGCTTAGTATTAAGTCTTAATGTCTTAATTCTTGGCAGCTTTGATTAATATGGCATATGGTATCATATGGTACTTCCTCCTTGAATTGCTCCCACCTATTGACCATTCTAAACGAAGGCGCGAACGAATCCGTCAATCTGTCAAGGCTCGGTGACTACCCCGCGCCGCGTCGGCCCTTCAAGAGCTTCCCTCTCAAGCTGCATTTCCAATGACGAGCTGGCCTTTCCTGACAATGCCGGGCTCAACCGAATCAGAAGCCAGGCTCAACAAAAGCTCCCACAGCAGCCACCAATAAAACTGTTAACCACACATCTCCGAAAGCAGGAGCAGCACAAAATGACGTCGGTTTCCCCCAAGAATCTAAGCACACCTTTCTCGACAAGCTGGAGTTTGCTTTGTCTCTCACAGTTTCTTGCAGCAAATAGAGGCCACACTGCCTCTGACACTGATGCATAATCGCAAGGCGTAATGCCTGGCGATAGCACATGATGAATCAGGCACCAAAACAGCTACGATGCTACAAAGGCATTTCACAGCCCAATGATTCACAAACCTATCAGTGCCGTCAAAAATGAATCGCATCTTCTGCCTTCAAGGTCTTTCTCCAAGGGATCGGCGCGTCGTTCCAGCAGCAGCAAACATGCCTTTCCCTCCTCCTGCAGCGCAGCTGCGTGAAGCGGCGTCCATCGTGGGCCATTCTCATTCCGCAAGGCAGGTGAAGCCATTGAGTCCAGAAGAAGCTTCAAAATATTTACCTGAAAGTGTGGAAGCGTGCAAAATCATGCAATGAACAAAAATGCCCTTAAGACTTCAAGGATCTTCAAGGCCAGGTCACATGACCCCACATTGCAGCAGCACAAAGTGGGGAGGTTCCATCTAAGCCCACTTCATTCACCGCTCCAGGATCAGCTTCGATCACCCGTCGCACGCCCTTCTCGTCACCGGAGGCAGCGAAGCTGGTCAGCATCAGCGCTAGAGTGTCATTGGCCTCCGGCTGAACTGACCAGCCCAGGCCGTCCATGAAACGTGGGCCCGGAATTGAGCCGAAGCTGACAGAAACAGGTTAAAACATGTTCAAACCACTGGAATGCAAAGGTATAAAGCGGCATAAAGGTATGCATGTGTGGCTAACCACAACAGTGTCTGGCCTTCCACTCCACAAAAGGTTATGTACATCAGTTTACATTTCACGTTTGCAAGCTCGAGTGTCCTCTTCTTAGACGAGCCTCCGACCTGGTGTAGCCCGTGGCATTCCCTTCTATGATCAACAAACAGCCACATGAAATCAAAGTAAAAGAAACGAAATCAAACCACCACGGAAGGAAAATCCTCTAGGGCTCCGAGCCATATAGAAGAAAAGGGTCCAAGGAGCAGCACTGAAGCCGATCAAAGGCACATCTCCCATCCCTTCCTGAGACCTTGTGGACCGCAACGGGCTGAATCTCTGTGTGACTTGTTGTGGCCAAGTAGGGCTACGGCGGCTAAGTGCTCCACATGGTCTGCAGGATGAGCCGTACAGCTTCTAGCACATGTGCCTGCATTCATGGACATCCAGCAAGTTAGATCATATGATATAATATAATGATGGGAGATGAATGCAGCATCATGCTCTTCTTTGCTCCAATCAACCAAACCCAAAGCAAGCGAAACCAGCTTCAGCTGCCAACAAAACATGCTTCGGGCTGACCAAGCGTTGCTCCACAAAGTCTGCGCTGGCGCTGGAGACTCGCAACCGAGCCATGTCTTCGGGTGACTCCAAGGGCCGCGGCACCAGAATGCCTCCCAGGCAAAACCGTGGGTCAACTCTCGGTCCGCCCTGGTCGTGGTAGCCGTTGTGAGTCCCGCATCCTTACGGACCTACGGGTTGAATCCGCTTGGTGTGAAAAAGGGAGGACACATTTTTTTTTGAGTTTCTTGTTGCACCTGATGCTGCATTGAGATTCTTCAACCACCTGCTTTTTCTGCCGCGTCTGGCCTTTTCCTCCAGGCATTTCCTGAGACGTTGGACTCTTCGCTGTGACCACAAAAAAACGTTTGCGTCGATCGCGTCACAAGGTTGCGCATTGAGGCCAGGATCCACATCAATGCCCAAAGCTTCCGCCACCACCAGGATATCCGAGAACAGAATCGCCGCATCCACCCCGTAGCGCCGCAGCGGCTGCATGGTGACTTCCTCAAAGAAGGCTGCGCCCAAGTTGGTTCGCAACACTCTTCAGATCTCTTGAGTAATCCTTTTGATTGGCAAGCTGCTCAGCAAACGCAACACCACTGCCAAGATGTTGGAATATGTTGGACGTGTTCACTATTCAATCATCCTGAGGCCATTGCAGCAACATCCTTCGGATCTTGCAGAAGTTCTAAAAAGTTCTTGTTGCCTCAGCCAAATTGCTTGCCTTTGCAACGTTAGCATGTCTAACAACAGCTCTAAAGTGAAACGTCACCGTTTGCACTTCGATTACCTTCCCCAAAAAATGAACCTTTCGGACTGTCCCAGTCACATCACACCATCTGCACCTCTGTAAACTAATGCTTTTCCGAGCTCATCTTCTCTACTTCAAGGAAGCTCAGAGCATGCCCTTGTCTCAGACAACGCAGCTCAAAAGGCCAAGCGACGTTTGGTCTTGTACTCATTGTACTCCGGGAGGTGTCGCCCCGCTTGGCGAAACAGCCAAACGGGCACCTGTAGGTGCAAAGGAACCAAAACCATCATTAGGTTGCCCCATGTCCAGCGCCTGAGGCTCCCTGACAGGTTCCAATCCCCGGGCCACCTGTCGAGCATCGAAGAAAGTCGATTGCATAGGTTGGAGGCCATCGCTACTAACAAGAAGCTACTCATAGTCTGCAGGTCTGAGGGCCTGAGGGTAGAGCTTGGAAGAATCTCATGAACAAAGAGAGCAATTAGCAACCCATCTTAAACAGGAATGCTACAGTGCAAACCCATGTGATTACCCTGCAAATATATGATTACACGATATTCCACGTGATGCTTTCTTCAGTGCCTCCGGCTCCCTTAAAAAAAAAAAAACACACACACACACACCATCATCACCAACAGTCACTGCAAAACTGTCAATGCCCATCATCGCTAGTTGCATATATGGTCTTCCCTTTTGTATGATATTGTCTAGTTTATGGCAGGTAAACAACACAATCGATAGCAGCGTGGTTGTAAACCGCTGGTGGGCAACCTCTTAGGATTTGACTGTGCGGTTCAAAGCACCGTTGGGCTCAAAAAATCTCAAAATAAGCCCAAATGATGCCCAAATGTAATGACACACATATTTTCACCTCATCGCTTCCAGCATCAATTGATGGCAAGCATTGCCAAAACAAAAAAAACGTCACCTTTTCATCGTTCCTCGACATCTACATATGAAGCAAACACATCCAACTGCCCAAATGGTCATAGAATCTATTAGTAATGCCTTGTCCTCAAACCCATAACAAACCGTAAACAGCTCTAAGTTTCTTTAAGCTGAACCGCCATCCTTATCATACTTTCTTCTACACTGAAGTGAAGCTGATCCTTTCCACCACGAAAGTAAACCGAGAGGGATGTTCTCCCACCTGACAAAGAGAAGAGGTGCTGGCGTCTGCCTGCAGTGTTTGCCTTGCGGGATGGTGTGTTGGTTGCCAAACATTGGGTGGCCCAAATTCAGTAGTTCCAATCTGATTCGATTACTATGTCAACTCAACTTGTTTAATCAACGCATGCAAAACAATTGTTCAAATTGGCACAATCAACAGTTTAGCGATAACCTTGGTGCTTAACCTCCCGCGTGCTCGCCGCACACGCTTCGGCACTGCTCCTGAAGAGTCAGAGTGCGTTCTGCGTTGTGGCACTTCTTTGAGTTCCTTTGCTAATCACAATGTACACATCAGGACTTACATCATGTACATCATGTCACCGTGTCTTGTCTTCTCTCAAGTGTTTCCTGTCTATACGAGTACAAACATCTCTGGAATCATCGAATCACAGTGGTCCTAGCACCATAGCCGCAGCAATCACACGTCGTGGGAGAGCGCATTGTGCCACAGTCCGCGGCGTAGCTGAAGGTTGGGACCGGCCTCAATCGACAACGAGCCGTCCTGAGGTCATGTCCGTTGCTTCATCGCTCATAGAGAGCCATGCAAAAGTCTAACCATCAAGCTGTGGATCGAACAAATCTAGAGCATATTACTTGCCATGGTTTCGCACGATTCACACAAACAAACCAAAGAGTGGCATGGCGGCCATTTTCGAGCCCACGTCGTGCACACGTTCAAGGTCAAAACCGCCGCTTCAGACGCACATGGCGGGAGTTTGGAGCTGCGGGAACTAAAAATGAAGCTGCAAGCTGTGCAAACTGCAAACTGCTGTGCAGTGCTCGGATCTGCTTGGCCAGGTGGAGTGTGTGATCTTGTTCCAGGAAGAGAGCACAGCTTGCTGCTGAATGCTAGTACCAAACCCCTTCACAAAGCGCGTCGTTCTTTTCCGAGGTGCCTCGAGAAAACATGTAGTTGGACCCATTGAGAACAATAACATGTCTTAAAGGATCTTAAAGGCTTTCAGCCTGGAATGCCCTTTTGAAGATTCTGAAGGCGGTTTGAAACTCTTTTGACAAGCATTGAAGTTATGCCATTGCATTGCACCTACTTGTCTGGGCAAGTTGCTATGCTCGCAATTGACCAAGGTCCCTTCTTCCTTGTCAATGCATAAGTAGTCGCCTTAGCATCGCAAAAGAAGCGACCTGCCACCACAGCTGGAACACAATTGCTTCGAGAGACTTGCGAAATGCGACGTTTTGTGGCGTTCATATGGGGGTTGTTCAAAAGTCCTTTCATTTTTTCCAGGCCTTTCGCAGGACCTTCGCGAAGCTTTCGCAAGCTTTCGCGCGTGGGGTTTTACCACTGTCGGCGAAAATGGTTTTTCGTTGGGGCTAGAGGCTTTCAAGGATTCATGCAGTTGCCCTGGCACGTCTTGTGTCCTCTGATCACTGACACATTGATTGCTGAGGAACAGGAAGCCAGCCAACCAAGCAACCAAGACATTTTCATGTTGGTGTGTTTTTGGTTGGGCGCAACCCTCCATGAACAAGAGACGGCTCAGTCAGGCCAGTTTGCTCAGACTTCCAATTTGCTTTTTCCCGGCCCGGGAAAAAGCAAAATGGTTCAGACTTCGAATTTGCTTTTTCTCCAACCCGGGAAAAAGCAAAATGGTTCAGACTTCCAATTTGCATTTTCCCGGGCAGGCAAAAAGCAAAATGTATCAGCCTTCCAATTGGGGCCTGGAAACAAGCAGCGCTTGTGAGGCTCGAGCCCACGACCTTCTACTTATGAGCCTGGCGCTTTATCCATTAGGCCACCGCAATCTGAAAAAATTGCTTTTTTCAGGCTTTGCAAAAGCAAACTGGATGTCCAATTTGCTTTTCCGGCTCAAACTTCCAATTTGCTTTTTTCCCGGGCCTGGAAAAAGCAAAAGGCTCAGACTTCCAATCTTCCAATTTGCTTTTTCCCGGCCGTGAAAAAGCAAATTGGAAGTCTG